GGAAAGGGCTGAGGGGGGGTTAAAACTCAATCCTGGAGGTGTGGAAGGGGCTGAGGGGAGTTAAACCCAACCCTGGAGCTGTGGAAGGGGCTGAGGGGAGTTAAACCCAACCCTGGAGGTGTGGAAGGGGCTGAGGGGAGTTAAACCCAACCCTGGAGCTGTGGAAGGGGCTGGGGGGAGTTAAACCCACCCTGGAGGTGTGGAAGGGGCTGAGGGGGGGTTAAAACTCAATCCTGGAGGTGTGGAAGGGGCTGAGGGGGGTTAAACCCACCCTGGAGCTGTGGAAGGGGCTGAGGGGAGTTAAACCCAACCCTGGAGCTGTGGAAGGGCTGAGGGGAGTTAAACCCCACCCCAGAGCTGTGGAAGGGACTGAGGGGAGTTAAGCCCCACCCTGGAGGTATGGAAGGGACTGAGGGGAGTTAAACCCACCCTGGAGGTATGGAAGGGACTGAGGGGAGTTAAACCCACCCTGGAGGTGTGGAAGGGACTGAGGGGAGTTAAACCCACCCTGGAGCTGTGGAAGTTTCCTCCTGCAGGCTCAGTGCTATCTATGGAGGCACCTACATGCTCAACAAGCCCATCGAGGAGATCGTGATCGAGAACGGCAAAGTGGTCGGGGTGAAGTCTGAAGGGGAGGTACAGTCCCTTGGATTCATTCCTTACTCCCTACCCTCCATGTTTCCCGTAAAAACTGAGCCTTTTGGCCATAGATTGAACAGTTGCAGTAGAAACCCCATTTTCCCAAGGGCCAAACCTGCTGGGCTGGTGCTGTTCTCCAGCTCACTCGAGGCACGTTGGTGTCCCCATGAGGAGGATCCATCCAAGAGCCCCTCTCCAGGGCTTGGGATGGAGTATCCATGCCCTGGCGGGGTTGTCCTTGAATAACTGAGTAAATCAGGAAGGGATTTATTCCATGTTCCTGTGTCTAACCTGGACACCCAGCCCTGCCCTTCAGCAGGTGACACGTGGCCTTCCTGCAGCTGCTTCCCCACCTGGAGACACAAAACTGGTAATGCTGTGAGCCCTTGGAAGTTCTCCATGTGCTCCTGACTGGAGCAGGTGCTTGAGGGGGCAGCTGAGCTCTTGGTGATGTGTCCCCTCAGGGTGGAAATGTGGGAAGTTCTCCATGTGCTCCTGGCTGAAGCAGGTGCTTGAGGGGCAGCTGAGCTCTTGGTGACGTGTCCCCTCGGGGTGGAAATGTGGGAGTGGAGGTGACAACCCACACCACGGAGCGATGTGACCGAGTGTGGGTGGCCTGGGGGCTCCGGGTGGGTCAGCTGTTAAACAATTCCTGGAAAAGGGAGTTGTGAGGTGTCCTGGTGTCCCGTGTCCCCCCCCGTCCCAGGTGGCTCGCTGCAAACAGCTCATCTGCGACCCCAGCTACGTGTCGGACCGCGTGACCAAGGTGGGCCAGGTGATCCGGGTCATCTGCATCCTGAGCCACCCCATCAAGAACACCAACGACGCCAACTCCTGCCAGATCATCATTCCACAGAACCAGGTCAACCGGAAATCAGGTGCGGGGGCAGCTCTGGGGAGGGGGAACCACACGGGAAAACGGGCACCGGGGTCCTTGTGTCCTCACCCAGGGGTTTTCCGGCCCCGGCGAGGCTGGGCTTTGGTTCTGAGCAGGGATGGGGGAGGTGGGAGAAGCCTGTGGTGGGAAAACCACGGGAGGAACCTGCAGGAGGGAAGTGCCCCAGCCTGGGAGAAGTGGGTGAGGAGGGTGAGGTGCTCTGGGAGGGCGAGGGCTGGTGTTGGAGCAGAGGGTGGGGAAGAGGTTTCAGTCTAAGGGGGGGTTTGTCCAACTGGAAAAGAAAGACGGGGCTGGAAGGGCTGTTAAAACCCCACCCTGGAGCTGTGGAAGGGGCTGAGGGGAGTTAAACCCAACCAGACCTGTGGAA